CTAAAATTTGACTTGTCCGCCTTCTATTTAATTTACTGTAATTTTAAAGAGAATATTGGAGAGGCTACAAATATTACATTAGCACACACCGTATGTGGATCAGTTGCGTATTTGTATCAGATTTTGTTTCAATAGTCGGAGCTTAAAGAGCGGCGAAAAATGGTGTGACGTGCTTTACGATTTATCGATTGATCTGCCATTGAAACCTGTGGAAAAGGATCGATAAACAGGGTGAAAATCCTAATAATCGATTGTTTACCATAGTTATAAATGGAGAAATATTGATAATCGATCATTCACGCTTCGCCACCGATGTTAGCAGAGATGCCGCTTTTGAAAAAAAAAGAAAAAAAAAAAAAAAAAACAACGGTGACTGACGTCCTCCAATGAGGCAGTGAATTCAAGAGCCTTAAAGCTTCAAGATTCTAAAGTTCATAGATTTTAATATCTTAAAATTTTATTTGAAATATTGCTGAAAATAATTTTCGAATCGTATTGCATCGAAGTTTTTTGAATGACCACCCATAACTTTAATCGATAAAGAAAAAATATCGTTCGGTTCTATTCTCTCGATCTTATTAACCTTCTTAGACCAGGAAATATGAAATAAGATTGACGGTGAACAGAAATCATTACATTGATTGAAGAGGATGGCGTGATTAAGTCAATAAGCTTAGCGCTAAATCTCGGAGACTTAAACGCAGCGATAGAAAAGTGAGCGTTATTCACGCCCTCAAAAACCGCAAGGATGGGAAAGCAAGAATGAAATTCAAAAGCTATAGTTTTCGTCATTTTCCCCCTTGTTTTACCTCTTCCGGTTTCTGTCATAAATTCGGCATCAATCAAGAGTCCTAAACATTGCATTTGGGTATACTTTTTCCTAGCTCTCAAAGCAGGTACGATCATTTTTCTCAACTTCATCCAACTCTTACTTTTTGTATAGGCGGAGACCTCGAACACAAGGGGCGGACTTTTCTTAGCTCCACCCACTNGGGGGGGGGGGGGGTATCTGTTGGGTATGGAATACATCTCATGTCAAAAGAAGGGTCTGAAGGGCTTCTCCTAGAGAAATATAGGAATTTTTAAGCATCTCATATGCAGTTTCAGTCCATTTTGTTATGAATAATTACCAAATTCAAGTGTCTCTCCATCTTCTTTCCTCGGTCTTTCCCTCTTCCTCCTGTTTTTTGGGCAAAGGGGTAACCATATAACCTAACTCGAGGTTTGTGCCCTATGCTGCCGTGCTAAAGAAGAACGCCGTATGAACATTCGAGAGTTGCCGAATTTCCTTCGATAAAATGTTTATTTTTTAGGAAAGTTATGAATATTTTTCCATTAAATTTTCAGAATCTTTAGGTAAAATCGGGAACTAAATTATCTGAAAAATTGGAAAGAAAATATTCATAAATTTACCAGGAAATTCGCGTTTTATTGAAGGAACTTCGGCAATACCTGAAGGTTCATACGGTGGTTTTCCTTACCACGGCGGAATGCTCCCCTCCTTTGGATTTGCCTATGACTTTTTACTTGTTGTTTCTTTTTCAAGTATTCACTGAAAAAAAAATCTCGGTGTATTTACTAAGAGAAGGGTAAAATTACCAAGAATTCAGGGTTCTATTTGATCCCAGTTTTTTCTCGGTAAAATACCATTTATGGAATTGGTAATTTTACCGAAAAATCTCGGTAAAATTATTGAACTTTCTCGGTAATTTTACTGGACCTTGGTAAAAACGCCAATATTTTATTTTTCTGTGATAGAATTACCGAGATAAAATGGCAAAGTTACCGGGAATTGATTACCAATAAAAGTGGTATTCTTACCTGAAAAAACAGTAAAAATACCGGTTTTTAGGTAAGCTTACTACTCTCTGTCTTGGTAAAATTACCAATAATTGGTAAAAACAATGGGATGGTAAAGGTACCAATGAACCTTGGTAAAAACGCCAAGAATTTTTTTTCAGTGTTTACTCGTTTCTTTTTCATGTACTGATTTATATATTTATTGTTCTTCAGGACGCAGGATGACGTGGATAATACAGTTGACACTAGCGGTGGCATGCCTGATCTCGAGCTGCCTTTGCCGAGAGGTAGAGCTGATTGAGGAGTACAACTTGCTCAAGTTCAACGAGCCGCCTGGCTACCCAAAGAACCCGAAATACGAACCCGAGGAGACGATCCTGACGGGAATTGAAGCCGCTCACGACCGAATTTTCCTCGCTTTCCCCCGAATTTTCGGGACCGGGCATCCCGCTTCCTTCGGCTTCATCCCCCGGCGAAGCTCTCCGCACGCCTTTGACAAACAATCACCCCTCATTGAGGTAAGTCTCATCGAATAAAATAGATTTTTAACTCGTTATTTTTTCCTACTGAAAATCCAGTCGCTTGGAATTTGAATTCTTCAGTCGCTCAACAGCGACTGATACTGTCAGTGGTTATATTGATTTTGGGGTTTTTGAAAAAAAGGCCGATTGCGAACGGTAAATGACCCTTTACCGGACTGCGTTTTGCAAGAAGGAATACTGAGATTCCTGGCGCATCCATAAGAGCACTTATGTCCATAAGATAATGAATGGCACATAAGTTGTTTTCGGAATATGCCGAAAATTGCAGTTCATAATTGCTGAATTGCGTCTAACTTATGTCAAATATGGACGCGCTTAGAATGGAAGAAAGAGGGAGAAAGAGTATATGAAAGGAAAATGCGGAAAAAAATAAAAACAGAAGGACGAGAGGGAGCTTTTCGACAATCCTTGGGTTCATCCAGTACGATCAAATCCTCTCAATGCAATCATTTTGTTCGAGAATCGATACTTTTTAAAACGAGATTGGAATGAGGCCTCCCTTGAGAACCCTTAATATAGACGCGCGAGTCGTTTGCTCAACTGGCATTTCTGCCAAACGGCACTGTGTGCACTATAACGTGAGCCCTGTTATGCATATATTCTTATGGGTCTTAGGGCTCATGTCTTAAAGTCAATGTGTGATTGCAGGCGTACCCGAGCTGGGAATGGCACGCTGCGGCGACCGCCGACGACGTGAACAACCCGGCGAGCAACTGCACCGGTCTGGTGAGCGTGACCAGAGCCAGGATCGACGCCTGCAACCGACTCTGGGTTCTGGACACCGGAGTCCTTGACGCCTTGACCGTCTACAACGTCGTCTGCCCACCCAAAATCCTCGTCTTCGACCTGGCCACCGATCAAGTGGTAAGTTCCCAAGCTCGTGATATTATATATTTTTGCAATAGAACACTGGAAAAAAACACATTGGATCTAGAGTCCAGACTCTTAAAAATATCGACAAGAAAAAGTCCTATTGATTCAATCAGAATGTAGCTAGAATCAAGAACCAAGCCTCTTAATTTAGGCGAATTTCGTTTTGATTCTAGCAAAAATCCGATTGGTCTATCGTCCTTTTTTGACTAAAACTACAAAATCTGCCGAGATTTTTGACATACTTGATGCGATGTATGGCACGTCCGTTCGACTACACCAGAGACCGCAACAAATCCCTTAAGTTTCAAACCATTTCTAGTAAGCCCTTATTCTCTGATGTGAATTGCTTCTTCTCTTTTGGCGCGTATACGTAGTATACCGCCTTTGCGATCGTTTCGACCCCCCCCTCGATACAATAACCGAGTCCCCTAGTTCCTTACCGAAAAGTGACTACCGCGAACTTCTGAGATTTTCCAAAGCGTGTAAAAAGTTTA